TAGTATTTGACAAGTTTAAAAAGCTACCATACTAGATTAAGAATCCAGATTTCTTAATATCTAACACAGAATTCTGTCTTCTATACTGGGACAAGAAGAACTAAACAAAGAATCATATTTCCCTGAATAAGAGACATTCGGTGTTGAAAGAGATGTCAAGGATAATCTACTTGAATTGTGTTTCGGCACTTGGAACCTCTCCATAAACATCCTGGCCTGAAATACTCATTTATTTCATGCTGTATTTGTACCCTTGTATTTAAATAGGCTTCATATATTTAGATTTTCTGTTCCCATGGGTAAAGATAATGCTTAACAATCCTTTAAATTTTCTATCTTGGAATTCTATATGAAACAGAAAGCTAATAAAACTCACCAATTGGTTTTTCCACTAGAGAATCACACTATCAGAGAAAAGACATTCACAAGTCTATAGTAAATATAAAGAACTGTTATAAATATCCAAGAAAGTACTTTAACTTTAAGTGGGCTAGATCTTAGCTTCAACCTTTTACACATCTTTGAATTTAAGAAGATTTAATGGGAAGTGGAGAACAAATAATTTCATCTAGACTATACATTATGGGCTGCTTTTACTTCTGTCTGAATTTTATTTTATTAATTATATTGACAATGAAAGTCTTTCCAGGTCTGAATTTTGTCAGAAGCAGTTTTGCATTTTTCATTATTCTAATATAAATTTAATTCAAAACCATCTGTCACATACAAAATCCTATATTTACAAACATGTAGGAATCTTATATTTAAGTTACAAATATATGTTGAAATTATTTCTTCTCTATTTCAATCATTAAGATTTTATTCTCATGAATGAAATTCTATTTGGACAATTTAAATAATTTTAGTGATTAAGACAAGACTTAAAGTGAAATTATTATGGAACCTTAAGAAAAGCTGTTTATAATTTGTGACTGAAAGTTTGAAACTCAATACTAAAAGATGGACTATGACAAAGTCTAAATAGCAACTTAAATGAAGTTTTATTATTCCTATCCCAATGTCTCAGCTTATAATCTGTAGAGTAGAAATGAAATTTGAGGTCTATTATCTTTCTTTTCAAGTTAATTAACTCCTCATTACAATAATGGCAATGGCACAAAATGTTTCTGAGAAATAAAATGCAGCTTTTGAAAAACACCAAATTGCTTTCTAAGTAGAGACAAAATAAAATTATTTTACTCTCATATATTTCTATAAAAGTAAAGTATGTTATTTCATTACCTTAACTGAATGAGCAGAAATTAAATGTTAGATGATCCTAAAATCTATTCCTACTTATGATGTCTACATTTTAAATGGTTCATATAAAATAAGAGAATTGAAGAACTTAAAATCCCTAAAGTACAGTGAACACCAAGTTCTTGATTTAGAAAGTGTTGCAAGCATTATGTCAAACAGAAGTGTAAACTTATAATTTATCCCTTAAAAATCAGAAAACTACCAATAAATCAAAGAAATACATATATCTGTCATATATGTATATAGAACATTTACAGAGACAAAGTGTGTGTGTGTGTGTGTGTGTGTGTGTGTTTACCATATAGGTATAGTGCATCTTTTATGTTTTGATGTCTATCTGGTATTTGTTTGGTTTGGACATTGTAACTGCTATTGTTTGGGCATTGGGGTTTGAACCCAGGACCTCTTACATGCTAAGCTCAGCTACCACTGAGCTACATCCCCAGTCTGAACTCTATATTTTAATACAAGGTAACAAATCAGCTATTCATTACTTAGAGAAAATGTGGTTGCATCCAACTACTTTTATATTCAAACTGCCGACTTCTAGTTGAACTCTAAGATGGAAGAAAAAAAATCTTAAGAATGTAAAACAGAAATTTTAACATATTTCCTTTTCTGTTTTGAAGAATAATTATTTCTGAGATCATTTCAGTTTTCCTCCTAGTAAAGTGTCATAGAAATCACATTTGATTTACTTTCATTACATTCCATTTAGATTCCAATTGTAAGATATAGTGTATATAATAAATGGAACAATAATTCAGGACTAGCTGGTAATTGTGATTGATTAGCAGACATTCTCTAAGACAGAGGGGAATAAACACCTATCTTACCCAAAATTGAGCACAAAGTATACCCCATAGCAAGCATTAATAAGCTCCCAGTTGCTGTGAGACACACAAAATTATGGGGTTTGAATCATGACTTAAGATATTGATTTTTTCAAAAAAATATGAAAGATAGGACAATCCTAGCTGAAATAAAACAGATGTGGAAAGAAGGATAATAAAAATGATTATTTTGCTTTGATTATCTGAATATAAGTCAAATAATTTTAAATGTTCATAAAATTTTATAGGATAAAAGTATTTTAAATTGGTAATAGCTGACAATAGGAAATGGTTCAATTAACAAATTTATTATTTTAAAATTCCATTCTTTTTCTTTCATACAGACCTGATGTACTGATAGAAAGAACTATCAGTAGTATAATACCAGATGCTGCATATTGGATTGGCAAAATTATGTAGAGATAGCGTAGGAACAGGGATTTGTCATTTATAGCTCCCACTCTGTTAGAAGATTGAAGGAGACCAAAAAAAAAAAAAAAAAAAAAAAGCTCAATGAAGAAGTTTTCTGACATTTTACTCTAGGATAATGCTTTATTAAAATGTCTGAAATTATATCATGTAAGTCTGTCACTTTCTCTCCTCTCCTTGACTTCTCCCAGTTTTTATGCAAGATGCTTTGTCTGGCCCTTACAGACCAAATGCTCATCCAACAGAAGGGCTTATTTGTATCACATGTAGAGCATGCAATGGAATATAGCAATGTCACTGTAAAACCCAATCCAATACCCAGTTTGAGAATAGAACAAAAATACAACATGTCACTGCATGACATAAAGTTTCTTTTTGCCTTTAAACAACATAGAGATTTTACTCACATATAATTGCTTTAAATCAGCTCATGTTTAATCTTGATTTTTTTTCAAGGATTAACAGCATAGAATGATATCCTTGCTTTGGGTTACCCTTAGTCCTACATGCACAAAATCTTCCTTTCTATCATTACATTTTAAGGTCTTATTTATTATAGATTTTTATTCACACAGCCAGCCCTCTAGCACTCAGTTATTATATGTAGGTGTAAATTTCAAACATTTGGCAATGTGGAGAATTAGGGATATTTTAGGAGAATATTTGAAGAAAAAAGAAAATTTTCTTCAGAAAGAAAAAAAAAGATAGAAAATTAAGTTATCCTCTATGAGAAAATAAACCATGGGAAGTGATCACTTGTGTTTCATAATATTGACAGGGTATGGCTCAATACTTTTTCATTACCTTTTTTTGGCAGGGAGGGACGTGGAAGTAAAGATTGAATCCAGGACCTTACATATGATAGGCAAATGTTCTATAATTGAGAGCTATATCCATAGCCCAATTTTTTTGTTTTGTTTTTCCTAATGTTTTTTTTTTCTTTATCCTGATATTAAAATGGAAGAATAACAGACTTTGCGAGCTAGAACAGATTTCATAGATTATCTCAATTAAAATTGCCATCTGAATTCTAGGTAATGCCTTGTACAGAGATGCCCTGTGTTTGGCAGGATCTTTAGCAGCATCCCTGGTCTGTATTCACTAAATATAGTTCCAGTTTCCCAACCCCTTTCAAGTTGTGACAGTCAGAAATGTCTGCAGGCATTGCCAAATGTCTCTGGGTGGCAAAAACATCCCTCAATGAAAACCACCACTGCTCTATGGCATGGATTCATGATGCACTCGCTTGATTAGAGAGACATTATATGGTAATTCCTAAGAATGAATGGGAAAGAAGTATCAAGATTATAGATAGGAGTAGTAACTCAAAATATAGCAAAGCCCCCTGAAAGGCTAAATTTCTATGGCAAAAGAATAATATTTGTTTTATTTGGATGTTCATAAAAACAATGCATTTTGCAAGAATACTTCCAAATTAAGTGTTAAATACAAAGAACAGGATCGTCAAATCAGAAATTTACCACATTAGCTTTGGCATAGTTAAAAGCTCACTAATCATAGTTTTTAGTGTGTAATTTTTGAACTGAGCAGGTTTATACCATTTTAGAACTGTACAGCACTCCTCATCCTTCATCCTTTTTTTTTTTGTTTATTTGTTTCTCTTAATAATTAGAAGGCAGACCAATCTGTTCTCAAAGCTACTATTTGGTATGTAAGCAATCTGAAGCAAGTTACTCAAGTTCTCTGATCTTCTCTTTCCCTTAATTATAAAATCTGTATGACAAGATGACCAACAGGGGAATTTTTAAAAGTTTCAGTAAACCTCAGTGTCTACAGAGCATGAATAATCATATGTAATTAACAAAACAGTAATGGTCATTTTAAATATAACTTATAAAGTTTGTGGTTAATTTCATATTCAAAAACTTAAATCCTTACATATGTTCAGAGATTGTCTTATACAGTTCACTTGTATGAGCTAACTGCTTATTTAACCTTACAATGTACATTGTGTTCTTCTAGATGAATGGAAAGTATCCTTACTGAAAGTATTTAATTCTGTTCTTATTTGTTTTCCAATGTCACGGTGAAAAAGTGAGACTTATGCAAAGCACTTGATCTTAGAGCCAATCTTGAGCTTCTTAAATGGCCAAAAAATTTTCCTAAAGAAAAACATAATTCTAAAAAAAAAAAAAGAAGAAAAACATAATTCTAGGAAAGGACTCATCATCAGTCTCACATTTGGAAAACCCATCAGCACAAAAATGGCAAACACAAACCATTACTTCCAAAAACTTTTTAAACTTGGTATCGTCAAATTACCACCTGTTACCTTGAGACTACGTGCTAGAAGATTTACCCTTATTCATATACTCTTCTTTTCTATGATACCATGTAATCAGATTCTGTGTTTAGCTATTAATTTTTTGCATTTTAAAATACCACTTGTGTCATAATAACTATCCGTTAATGACTTAAACCGTCAACTGTCACTACAAGTGAAGCAATGGCATATACCTCTGTGGTGTTTAATCACGTCCATGGTTAAGAATTTCTTCACCACAAGATAAGCTGAGCCAGGTTCTGCTAATGAACTCCACCGAAGCACCTGCTCCAACACGTTTTCTGTGTAGTGAAGAGGACGCTCTGCAAACATAAAACCCAAATCAAAATGAAAATAAAAATATGAAAATTGTCATGTGTAACTAATTAAAACAAATTAAAAAAGAAAATTATTTTGTCATAAATTAAAAAATAATTTTCAATGATCTGTACACATCATATACATAATTTATCTTATGTATACGTTTACACAATAATAGCATCAGAACTGTATTTGAGACCCTGATACCTGAAACACTATTAGCACACAACAAAATTTGTTGTATAAATTATTCTGTGTGGGAACAATTGTTTTTTATGCAATTATCTTTTAAATTTCATAATTACCTTGCTTTAGATAAAACTTAGTATACTACCTTTAGTAGAATGAATATGTGTCTTATTGTAACTTCTGTTTAATTCAGGTAATATTCAGGTTTGCTTAGGGAGAGTTATTTGCATATGCAATTAAATAACTTTAAAAGGACTAGAAAAATTAATTTTATCTAGTACTAATAAGCATGAATTAATCCTGTGTTTATCCCATTAGATTAGAATATTATAATTTCTGATCAATACAAGTGAACAACATATAGTTGGTATTTTCACAGCCAATTAATATGAAATTATAGATATTATTACAGAGAATATGTAAAAATAATTATAAAAATAATATTTAATAATCTCTATTAGTGGAAATATCAATCAGAAACACAATGTTGCAATATTATACATTAAATGTTGATGAAGGAAAATGATTGAGGACAATAAAAAAGAAATTAAATGACAGCTTTAAGACTTCTCTTTGATGAATCTTTATCTATATATATTTTGTTTTAGAAAAATGTGTCATACATTCTTAGCATCGAGTTTAAAGAAAAGCTTTATAATTACAATCAAAGCTTCACGGAAAGTTTTTTTGATCAAAATATGCCAATCAATTAAGAAATTAAAATGTAACAACAGAGGCATATGCTTGTAAAAAAGACATTCAAACCTTTCAGTACACTAGAAATAGCATATTTGAAATAGGAAGAACAGAACTCTGACATGATGTCGATGATGCTTTACTAATATCATAGCCAGATATAAGTCAACTCAATTCTTTCAGATCCTCCTAAACATACAGCATATAGCACTTGAGTATTTTTTTTAAAGTAGTACTGCTAATGACAAACAAGAAAGAGCATAGAAAAGGCATTGTAATCATATGTGAAACATGATATTGTAATTGGTAACAATATTTAAAAGTAAAATGGACTAAATATATCACATGTTCCCTAATGCCTGTCTGCATTGCTACTAATACATGATTTGAGAAGTTATCAATAATCTCAGTTTGTAAGAGAACATGTGTTCTGCTTCCAATATAAATTACCAGATTTTTGATTCTTAGCCAATAAACTAATATCCAGTTCTTCATTCTGTGCCTATTGGAGCAAGCCTACTTATTATTATAATGATAATTTAAAAAGAAAAACAAAAGCCAAACAAACAAAAACCACCTAAGAGTCATTAGTTCATACACCTTGAGGATTCTATTTACTGATATATATCCCCTGCATACAGCATAGAACTGAGTACACAAAAGATGCTCAGTAAATATTTTAGGAATAAAATACTTTATGAATTTCTTTGATGGGCCATATTTTAACAGAAAGTATTTGTTATCAGACTAGACCAGAAAAAATACACATAATTACTTATAAAACCAGACAAAAGCGTTTTGTGCTATATCAATATTGGTGTCCCTTCAAATAATTCTCCAAAAGCTTTGGTGGGCAAAGATGATAATTGCCCATAATTTGCCAAAATTATAACTCAATCACTGATTAACCCATTAGTTGGTTATATTTGGAATTAGAGGTATTCAAATATAAAACTTATTATAGAATAAGCACTCCCTTTATATTTGGCAATACATAATTCTTTATTCTAGGACATTATTATCCCATTAACAATTGTCATTTCTGGAATAACACCCATTTCAATAGTATACGTGTGTGTGTGTATGTATGTGTGTGTGTATAATATATATACATAAAGTTATTTTATATTAGCTACCACTTTAAATTCTCACAATAATATTCTTTGCTATTATTACATAGTACTACTATTATTCATATTTTACACATAAGAAACCTATCACATATTTCAGCTTTTTCCCCAAAGCCATATTAACAGTTTAGTGAGAAACAGACTTGAACCCCAAACCCATGTGATTTTGAAGTCCCAAATCTTAACTATTACACTGAATTTTACTTTGGTCAAGTATATAAACCTCTACATGATGGTTTCTCACATATAATTTTGGGGAAAAATAATTAGAACTTACTAAGATTGTTTTGAGTACTGGACAAGGTAACAAATACGTAAACAAAGCAAAAAGCACTAGAATTCAAAAATCCTCCTTTAATTTTCTACCATTCCTAAGAAGATGTTAAGGAAACAACCACAAGAGAGTTTCAACACCCTTCCTGTAAGGAAACTGATGGTTGAGCAGTTGGTTTGACAATGCAAAAATAATATTCTTAATTGGAATAGAGTAAGTGGCTTGAAGTAAAACTCACTCTCCTTTATTACAAGATCAAATTGCTAATTCAACTTCCAAATGTCAGACATTTATATAAAGAAGGATCACTAATACACACTATTGCAAGTAGATACTACAGTGACAGACCTACAGTTTTCCTAATTATACTGAAATATATCACAGCAGGTATAGAGGTCATCAGTGGATATATACTTAAATTTAGTTACAAAAAGCTAAGTATATTTTTCACATCAGTATCAAAGTATGAAATACATTAGAGGAAAAAAGCCTTACAAACCCTAGGTCCGAAAGACAGAGCTGGAAAACATGATGGGAAGATAAATACATATTAGACTGTCAAATGCATTACTGGCATTAATTAGAAAGGGATAAGGAGTAGGAAAAATGATTGAGTCCTCAAGCATTGTTGGAATATAAATTATTAGAAATAAACAAATTTTAATTTATAGTTGCACTTGAAACCATCTGTCATGAGAGATTATATAGTGTGTATGTCACTTGGCATTAGGGCATTACTGAGAAATAAATAGTTCTTTTGGATACTAGAATGAAAATTGCTAAGCCCTCAGTGTACTCCTTTGGGGAAAAGAGGTCACATTGGCAGTTATTTATCTGGGTTAAAGCACAACAGTATTTATTATTTAAAATTCTATGCAAAGAATGAACGTGGCCTCTCTTGTTAAATAAAAATCCATTCATTTTCCACCTGAAATAATATTTTATTTGTTGCCCTTAAGTTTCAGGTAGTAATAACACAGAGCTCCCAGAGACAATTGCTACTTCCCCAATAACCAAATTCTTAGTGCCAAACTTAGAGCTGTGAAAGCCTTTCTCTAATGATCTATATCATCAGAGGGGAGCAGTGGTTTATGTACCAATGAGGAGAAGAGCTAGAAAGGATCCTGACTAAAATAAAGAGATCTGTATCATGGCAGCTATGAGGGAGGAACCAGCAAACATTTCACTGATCTTACTACACAGAAAGTAAATGCTTCATAAACTCAAAACTCGCAGTAAAGCTCACTGAAATGAGACTCCTTAGGCAGTTCATCTATTTCAAGTTGTGAAAGACCTCAAGGCACAGAGATTACACTAGTGGACAATAAGGTCAGTTTTAGGATTAAGTATTAAAATCACAGCATACTTTAGAAGAGTAGCTGTTGATAGAGGGGTTATCATCTCTGCCACAGTTGGGACTTGAACATCTCCCAAAAGCTATGTGTTGACAGCTGGAACAATAGCCTGTGATGATATTGGGAGGCGGTGGAATCTTTAAGGGCTGGGACCTGATGTAAAAAAGTTAGGGCACTGGGGGCATACCCCTGAAGAGGATACTGAGATCCTAGACCCTCCTTTCTGCTTTCCATACACCATTAAGTTAGCAGCTCTGCTCTACCACATGCTCCCCACCCTCACCATCTGCCCCAAACCAATGGAGCCAATTGACCATCAACTGAATACCTCTGAAATTGTGAGCCAAAAACAACCTTTTCCTCTTTATATAAGATTTTATCTCAGGTACCTGTGACAGAGATGGAAAGTGACTAACAAAGAACATTGGTACAAGAAGTGGGGTCACGGCTATGTCTATAACTAACAATGTGATTCAGGAGCTTTTGGAACTGGTTTGCAGAAAGAGTTTAGAGAAGCTGGCGAGAGAAAGCTTAGAATATTGCAAGCAGAAATTAATAGATGATTCTAGTGGGGACTCAGAAGACCAGATGGACAGGAATACAGAGAGTAAATTTAAGATGGAAATGAGATATTTATTGGTAACTGGACTAGAGGCCATTCATGTTACATTCTGAGAAAGAGCTTTACATTTCGCCCATGTGCTGAGACTTTGCAAGAGGCTGAGTTGAAAGGTGATGAACTAATTAATCTAGTGGAAGAAATTTTAAGGCAGCACAGCACCAAGGCAGTGTGGCATGGGAATTGGTGGATGCTTTGAGCTAGATTTTCAGTGAAAAATAGAAGCAAAAAACAGAGAAAAGACTGGAAAAACTTGCAGTTTGGCCTAAAAGGAGTTAGTTTAAAGGTATAGTCAGGAAGTTATGAAGATTAAAGCCATCAATAAAAACCAAGTACCATGTACCAGGAGAATAAGAAAGATGCTTGGAAGACATCAGAGGAATGGTAAGGTCTCACAGCATGATCAAAGGTACATACAAAAATGTAAACTTTTACTCTGGTCACACAGGGCTGCCAGCTAGTAATTTGCTTAGGATCACTTACGTTAAGCTACCAAGAAGGCCACTGTAGCCACGGTTCCCAGAGGTATTGATACAATTCATGTCAGTGGAAGACTTTGGCATTGTCTACCTGGTGCTGATTTTGCAGGCATGCAGAAAACAAAAGTTAGTTACAGGGTCCTGGAGGCTTCCACTGAGATTTCAAAGGAAAGCCTGAGTGTCCAGGGAGTGTGTGGTGTATCTGGAGTCCCTGCCAGCTGACCTGACAGGATGATGCACAAAACTATGAGACTGAAGGTGAAGTTACAACGGAGACCCCAGGAAATTACAGATGACAGAATATGTAGCAACTGCTAAGGGAGGCTACCATAGGCCCAAAGTGACAGGGGCAAGCATCCATGGACAGATACCTCTGAAACTGTAAGCCAAAATAAAACTTTCCTCCTCAGAAGTTGATTTATCTAAGGTATCTGTCATAGCTACAGAAAGCTGACAAACATGCTTTGCTACGGAGGGTTTGATCTTGTTCTAATAATTGGTGGAAGTGAGTCAAAGATGCTTGACATTCTTCAAGAAAGATCTGTGCTCTATCCAGAACAAATTTCACATGTCACACCAGGCATTCATTTAAAGGGAAATCCTATTTATAAATTAATTGAGCCTAGAATCTAATATGATTTTGTATGTTACATGGTTGAGTATTATGTATAAAATCAAGATGTAAAAGTTACCTAAATATTTTACATGATTATAACAAACTATTTTCCCATGAATCTGATTACCACAGAGAGACCGTGCTTTGTTTTAGGAAAAGCTTTTTCTAAAAACTGTTCTCCATTTCAACAATGATAATGCTAGTAACATCGTTTGAGTCACAAATTGACATACTTACATCATCTGTATTTTTAAATTTCACATCAAGTGAATTCAATTTATAGGTTTAAGGATCTATTTTTATCATCTTCGACCAAAGACACATATAATTACAGGCAGTTACATGGCATAATGCATACTTTCTGCTTATTCATTTTTATATTATAATGAGATATTATACTAATTTTTAAAATAAGTATAATACATTATCTCAGGATAATGTAGGAATAATATGGAATAGTTAGTGCACAAAAGAGGTATTCAATGTAACATGACAGAAAACTACTACTTTAAAATTTATAGGAAAATAAAATAATAAAATAAAACTTAGTACTCTGGTTTATTATCATTAATTAATTCATTCATTTTTGGTTATGTGATACTGTTAAGCAAACATTAAAGCCATGTCAAATTTAAATTCTTAATACCAAATATTTTCTCTCTTGATGCACATGGATAGTTCTTCTTTGGCTTAGACATTCATAAATCAAAATGACTTGATGTGTCCTAGTCTTCTTATTCTTAATTAAGATAACATTTTTCTATTTTTTTAAATTAGAAAGAATAGCAATGATTTTTAAAGATCCAATCCAATTTTAGTGTTTGTGAGGTGCTGTTTATCACATGCAATTTGATAATCAGCCATTTTTAGGATGAGAATCCCTTGATTTTCTGAAAGGAAATATCAAAAACTGTGTTTCCAGGTAGAATGTGATTCTACTTCTAGCTACAGATCCTTCCTATTCTCATTTATTCTGCCTGTTCCACTCAGTTGGGTCAGGGCTAAAGACAGAGCTCTAATAAGCTATGACAGAGGGACATGATTTAATCTGACTCAAATCTCCAGAGACTAAGTGTGGTAGGGAGTGGATGTTTACCCTAAAATAAATCAGTCCGCATTCTGCAGTAAATATCTTCAAAAACAACAGAAATAGAATAGCATGCAGGTAAGAATCAACTATCCAATCCGTAACCAGGGCTTAGAACTCTCTATCTACGTGGTTCCCAATCTACAAGCAGGGATCTCTTTCTATGTGACTTCCATATTTGTATAAATCTGAATAAGGAGCCACAAAACACAAATCGTTTATTATTTGTTTTTCCAGCTCAGTTAAAGAGACTTTAATGGGGTCTAGTCTACAACTGTGCATAATCCAAGAAGCCGTATGAGATATGAAGATCTAAAACATATAATCAATGCCCAAAAAATATATGGTCTGGGGTAGAACTATATATATATATATATATATATATATATATATATATGTATATATACACACACACACATACACACACACATACATGCATTACTATTCTATAAGGCAGGCTGCATATAGTACTATAAATCTACAAGCAAATGATCAGAAAGCAGTCAGTGTAAACTATGTCCATCTGAATATCATCAGAGGAAGGGGCACTTGAGCTGGAGCTTCAAAGATGGATAGGCAATAAGAAAAATCATGACAAAGAGTTTTAAATAGTGGGACAATACAATCCAATTGGAGATTTAGAAATACAATTCTGGAAATAATGCCAACAGTTATCTTTCAATACCCTCCCCACCAAAAAAAAGATAAAACCAGTAATCCCATCCCTCATCACATCTTTTTTTTGTAAAGAAAAAGAAAAAAAAAAAAACCAAAAGACTCTACCATTCCTGCATCACACAGTCATATGCTACAAGTTTATTTATTCAATAGATTTTAACAAGTATATATGGTTGTTATGTACTAGGCACTGTGCTGGACAAGAGAGACCAAAAAAAAAAAAAAAATGACAGAATCCCTACTTCCTTCCAAGAAGCCCCTGTCAAGACAGATATGTATAAATCCAAGTGCTCAGCACTATAAGAAGAGAGGAGACAACAAAGGCAATTGGGTGGGCCACAGGGTGGAAGACCTTGAGAAATCCCCACGTGTCAGTCAAGTGCAAGGTGTCTATTCAGAACACGTAATATGAGAAAGCTAGCAAAGGAAACTAGAGAAGAGAAAACCTGGATGTTTAAAAGATGGACAGAGAAAGAAGAATACAAAATTAGACAAAATGACTAGAGAACCCAGGAGGGATTCTAGATAGCATGGAAAAGGAAGATCATCAGAGAAAGGAAAATGGAAAGGTCATTAGCAATCAATGCCACAGAAAGGACAGGTAACGTAAGGCCTGAAGCAAATCAGTGGGACTTGACAGCTGGGAGGTTACAGGAATCATCTGCCAGAGTAGTTCTGTCTACAGGGAGAACTAAGCCCCACCAGAGGAGATATTGAGAACTCACTTCCTATCTCTAGGGTCACTGGACCTTGGCAATGTATACTAAAAAAATAACAATATAATACAAATAAAAATTTTAAAGAACTGCTTGTGGTAAAAAGAAATAAAGAAATAAAAATATCAAGGTGGACTAAAGGAATGAAAGACAAAGTACTTAATAATCCTATTTCATTCTAACACTGATTGCAGTCCTCCTAACAATGCACCACGGGGTATTTCAACATTGAATTTTAATTTTTCCTTGAGTTTGTGGGTGGCAAGGTTTTCCTTTTGGCAGTTTGACAGCTATAGCTGAAAGGGTCCCAAGACCTTAGTAGGTATCAACTAGACAGATGGTCAAAGTACAAAGACATTCTGCCTGATATTATTTTTTCCTAGAGGTCTTTAAAACCAAATGGTGTCATTAGAATGTTAAGCTTATTCAGTATTTGACTACTGGGTCAGTCAAGGTGCTTTAAAATGTCTTTTTACCCTTCAGTTTCTTTGGAACGAAAGATGACAAAATATTTGATATACTAAAGATAGAGCAAAATTAAAACGTCAAAAGAGAAGCGTCTGCTAGGCTTAAAATAAAACTATTTTTAGAATAAGTCATCTTTTAAATTAGCATTCTCTTTTTGTGTTAAATAAGTGGCATATATGAATAAGTGGATGGTGGTAGTGACATTTTCAACATTGTTATGGATCAAAGTTCTTGTTCTTATAAAGAAAGGCCTATTTCATGGGCTGGAGTTCTGGCTCAGTCGTAGAGCACTTGCCTAGCATGTGCAAGGCCCTGGGTTCGATCCTCAGCACCATATAAAAATAAATAAAATAAAGATATTGTGTCCAACTACAACTAAAAAATAATATATATTTTTTTAAAAAAGAAAGGCCTATTTCATGAGGCAGCAACAGAGATGACTAATGCATTGCACTGTATTTTCATAGTCAACAAAATAATCTAATTATTTGGAAGAATAAAATCATGTGAAGGTAAACTCAAGTGGTGACAACGTATGTCAAGACATGACTAAGGCAGGAGGGAACTCATGATGAGATGTTAATCTTTAGAAAAACATAAAATGTTAGTAATGACTTGTTGCCAAAGAAAGGATTTCTTCATCTAAAAGTAATTCAATAATCTTTAGCAACAAAATCACTTACCTAGCTCTTCATTTTCAATGACTTCAAATGTGGCCCAAATGTCACCTTTTGTGGGAATAATATTTTTTATTGCTAATATATCATTAGTTAATTCTTCTGCTTCCATCACAGGAGATATCTGTAAGAAGAGCAACATTTCTTCAAAAGATCTTTCAGATACAGAAGCAGTCTTATGATAGGGCAATACTACCTCCACCTAACAATACCTCAAGTATTGAAAACAGCACATTCAGCTCTTCTCAATAAAACAGAATACATTTCAATGTAAAGGCAAAGGGAAATTACAATACAGATATCATCAAGAAGAATTATTTTGTTCATTTACTGAGCAATTAGATGACTCAGAAGGGAGAAATAACCTAGTCACTCACAGACAGGCTTTCAACACATGACAAATCCAACCATCTCCTAGGAGTAAAACTTTTCACTTGTCAGTTCTCTAATCAAGAGTATAGAGTGACTTGTTTATTCAGCCTGGGCCCTAAATTATACACAGTTGACTGACTGCTGTTTGTCATGCCAAGAAGCCCCAGGGTTTTGGTAGTTTGTGGTGTTCCCTGCCATGCCAAGTGACAGATGGTAGGACACCAAAGTATTTAAGAGCCAGGATTTCAGGGTATAGGGCAGAATCTGCAGTGCCAGCCTGGGGCCCTGGCTTCACAAGAGTCCCAAAGCCGGAGGCCACTGGATGAGCACACTGCCTCTTCTGGGACTTTCAGGGTTTCTGATTTGTTTCTTCTTGTTTTTGTTTTTGCCAGTCTTAAGTAGATACTGGCCAAAAGCAAGCTGACTTCTTCAGTTAGACTTCTGATGTAAAGTTAAACAAATACAAGATGTATAAACATTAGAATACTGCAACTGCAACTTAGCTTACATATTTCCATAAAAGTAAATACCTATTTAAATATTTCTTAGAAAAGGAATGTGTTCATTTCCATTTTTCCTTCGCTTTACTCTTCATAAGCCTAGAACACATACATAAATAACAAAAACATCTTACACCACAGGTAACTCACAGTGTCTACCTTTTGTACTTCATGGAATTTAGAGCTTGCTTTAGGGAATATGTTAATTATACAATGGAGTCCACTCTGTTCTATCTTAAAGCTCAATGAAAAAGTGGGAAAAGTGGAGAGTTTCAAGCAACAAAAATATCAGCTGAATTGTCTTAATGATGTTTTTGATCTGCATTGACCTAAACATTTTAAGAAGTATCATCCTTTATTAAATAATGATTACTGAGAAACCAAACCTGAGAAATGGGCAGCAGGGAGAGCCTCAGTCTGAAGCACAAGGACTACATCCATAGGCCCTGCTCCAGGAGAGAGACCCAGGGCCCCTTTTAAAAACACCTAGAACTCCACACTTCAGAAAGCATTATTCTGTGGATTAGACTTATCGATATAATGAACATCAGGTATGGATTATGATGATCAGGTTTGTACTGTGGCCTGAATTTCTAGTTTCCATTGTTATGAATAAGATATCACTTGTTTCATCTATCTCTATAGGGTGAGGTAACAACCAGGAGAGATAAAATGTAACTAAATAATTTTACAGTCTTAAGTACTAAGTCAAATGCTATTGATTTTTTTTTTTTTTGTACAGTTTTTATGTTTTTTGAGAGCATCTGGATCTTCTACAGGTAAAATTGTGAAGTCTTATATATAAATACAATTAAAGTAATGTGACAACTTTCCTCAATTGTAAAAATTTCTCTGATGGGTTTGTAAGTAAAATTTAAATACACTATGAAAGTGTCTGTATATAGGTAGAGTTAAATCATGTTCTCTGAATATCTCTTCCAGCATTAATAATGGACTTGTGCTGATTGGTCTGTACTAGTTTCTCATATCCCTTATGATCAAACTCATACACTCAGACTAAGAATCATGATATGGCTAAGGACTGGGAGGGCAAATGTGTCACAAAGCATTTGATGATATAGCTGATGACTGTAGCATTTAGCTCCATGTTTTAAGAAAGGTAATTCCATATAGTCATAATACATAACTATTAAAAATACCTACAGTAAGAAATATAAGACAGGTATGGTGGCGCACACCTGTAATCCCAGTGGTTCAGGAGGCTGAGGCAGAAGGATTGAGAGTTCAAAGCCAGCCTCAGCAAAAGCAAGGTGCTTAAACAACTCAGTGAGACCCTGTCTCTAAATAAAATATAAAATAGGGCTGGGGTTGTGGTTCAGTAGTCAACTACCCCTGAGTTCAATCCCCAATACTGCTCCCTCCCCCCGCAAAATACAATATATTTAACATAACTAAAGTTTAGAGATATCTAATTCTGTGAAGGTTTAATTTTGCAGTCAAAAACGTGAAGAAGGTAAAGTTGAATTTATGTTACATGGCAGAATATCTATTCCATATACAGAAAAAGTAGTATTACCAAGTAGGAACATAAAATATCACTGTTACTATACCTAAGGCAGACTAATTACTTAATATAGTAGCATGAGAGGGATCCATTTTTAATTCAGGAAAAATGATCAATAGCCTCAAGGAAAAAAAGTTACCCAATATTTAAGTACATTGGAAGATGAAATGCTAAAGGGTGAGAAATCAGGAATAACAATGATACTAGCACCAGTAGTCACAACTATTTCTCAAACACGAGATGAACAATTTGCTACACTGTCCTATGTGCACTAACTTAATGAGTCTTCACAGCAATGATATGATGTGAATATTATCTTTCCTCATTTTATAAGTGAGGACACTGAAACTGAGACAGAGTAGATAACTTGCCTAATGTATGGAAGTTAAAAAGAGAAAAGCAAGCCTCTGTGCTCAAATCATTTTCTAGAACCTACAGAAAATCCTAACTCTAACCTAAAGCACATAAAATGTGCTTTCCAAATGACTAAAACATAAAATTCCCAGAGGATATTGCTATGAAAAGTCAATCTTGTCATCAGTCACTGTTTGAACTAGAGAGGTAAAGGAAATAAGAAACACTGGACAATTCAAAATATATGAAAGTACTGCCAACATTCGTGCTTTCCAATGGCGTTCTACATCCTCTCAAGGACTCACCCGAATTATAATACTACAGTCGGGTTCCTTCCTTTCCACGTACACTTCAATTAACAAATCTCCAGCCTGGGAAACCTAGAAAGGGCAGATGTGAAAACAGCACATATGTCACAAAAAACTGGCATAGGACATGTAAGGCAGTTGTAAAATCCTATTCATATTTCTCAATGTTATAGCAATGAATTAGCTCAATCCCCTGTTCACAAGCATGATGTTCTTATTTCAAGGTATGGTTGATTAAACATAAGGAGTCTATACAAATTTATAATCAGTAACAACAATCACAATGGGATTTGTCTCTTACTTAAGAGCTTAGTGTTCTCAAACACCCTTCTTTTTTAAATGAAATGGTGAATCTGGCCACACTGGAAATAAGCTGCCTTTGACAAGAGAAATACAGGAACCTCATCATCTAGAGTAATAGGATAAACAAAATGAGGAGTGAAAGTGAGCCACATGCAATTTTTTCTCAATATTGTGTGCATAATACTAACAATTAAAAGATAAAATAGTTCTTGCTATGTTTTCAAAAAGATGATATATTTGAATGAGGATAAATTAGGTCAGAGCAGTAGTAAAACTACAAATAGAAAAAGTAACTTTAGTAAGAAGAATAAAATAAAAGTGATAGAATTAGGCAGAAAATGAAGGTAAGTTTTCATTTTAATTATCTTCAGGCAATTATTTAAGAACAATTATTTGGGTCATTATGTTCCAGAAGACTGACTAAAGAAGATACAAGTCAAAAAATATAAACCATAGATATGGCTATGTACATCAACAAAATAAAATGAAGGAGCTTAATAAAGAATGAAATGAATCCATGAAAAATATTTTCAGTAGCTTTTGTCAGAAATTCACTTTAGTTCCATAACCACTCAAACATAATATCCATAACTCAATATTTTTTAAATGATCACAAAGGACAAACAATCATTCTGAAGGCAAATTTGTCTCTGCATAAAATCTAATGAGGAAATTTGTGAGGGAAACATTTAAAAATGTACTTTGAAGAAGTATTCCTAATTATTATGTCACCACAGGCATAGAAAAGATTATTTTCAAATTTTATTTCTCACTTTTGATGCTACACACAAATTCTAGGAAGAAAAAGAGTTGACATTTTTTGCTTTCCACTATGTATGCATAAACAAGTCTCCAGGAAGGACACATTTTAAAAATTTGAAAAGCAAACACAGAGTACTCAGAGTAAAGCCAGAAAGAAAAATAGCTAAGAAATTCAAATAAGAGTAGAATATAGGGATTCAAGTAAGAGTAGAATATAGGGACTGCCAGAAAAATACTCCAGAGGAGAGTTTTGTATGGATTTAAAAAATACTCAAGCAAAATAAGTAGTTTTATCAAACTGTCCTCCTTTTCTCTTTCAACTACTATAGTTTATACACAATTATTTTCTTATTTCTACTTATACTGAATTTTAAAGCAGTAATTTCTTTATTATCAATATAAAATACAAAAAGGCAAAAAGATATTTGTCCTTTATCTAATGATTATATACATAATGCTGCCAATGATTACCTCTCACGATCACACAACCCTTTATTTTAGGACTTAAACATCCCCCTGGATGTAAGAAACAAAAAGAATTGATGTGAACCGGGCAGTGTTAAAGCTAACACCACTGGAAGCTGCAGTAATGATTTTGGGTCAAAATGGAGGGAATAATTAGTTCAGTGATTAATATACCAGCATTAGTAGTGGAGAATTTACACACCCCCATCTCCTTCCAATGGGTAACTCCTCTAATTAGTAATGGAAACTTCAGAACCAGGGCAAATTTAGGTTCTACAGAAGGAAGTATTTGCCTCATTATCCAAGTATAACCATAAACAGAGCACATCTGACCCATTTGTATTATTTACGTTGGAACTCTGAATCCACTATGATTCCTAGTTACTAGAGGATGACTAAGGATTGCCTGTAAGAAGGTACAGTAAGTACTCCTTAAATAATAAGAGTAACTTGAAAAAGCACAGTGCAACCTGAGCACATGAATCCAACATCATATGACTGAGGAAAGAGAGACAGGATTTAGGAAAGCCGACTTAAGACAAAAATTAATGTGTTACAGACATCATATTAGAAAGTGTCTCATTAATATAGTCTTCTCAAAGCATGCAGAGCAAAAGCATAAAAGAAATAATTTATATTTTCAAAATCATTAAGGAAAGAATCATTACTCTCTCTGAATTTGCAATTTATTCTGGTATTTCTTTGGCTTTAAATGCTTCCTTTGAAATCCACTGGCATTTTTAACAGTGTTTTTAAAATCAATAAATAAAACTGATTTCCCCTTTATGTTAAAAATTATATTCACATATTTTGCATCTATGTATCAGGTTGAAAAATTATTACCATTGTTTTATCAAGATTCTTTATCCCCATTACTTCTACTTTGTTTCCAAAAGAAATTTGAAAATACACAAAACAAATCTCTTTGTTTACAATAGAAGTTTTTGTTTTTGTTTAATTCTTTAAAGATCTAACTATTACTACTCACTTGAGTGTCTTTCCACTTGGTAATAAAGCTATTTTCTATGTCCATTTGTTTGACTTGGTCTTCTTTAACCTGTTTAAAATATAATTTTGGACATTCTAATAATGTAGAGTACAAGGAGCGATGGTACTCATCCTCACAAAACTCTTCAGAAATTTAAATACCAACAAGTTGAAAATAAATGAGAATGGCCATCTTAATCAGCATGGCCAACAGAGTCTCATAAGTTCAGAAGACATTTTGATGATTCCTTCTGGCTTCAGATTCCACCCACAGAAGCCCTCATTGTTAAGGAGGTTTACAGAGCAAAGGGGCTGATGTCCTCTTTCTGAAAATTCTTGTAGGTTGAGAAACAGACTTGTTTCTCAAATCCAAATGTTCATTAAGTGCTCATTAAATCTTTTAAGATGAGTGGAGTTTAACATAACTACAATGATAACAATTTAGTTTCTATTAATGGATTGGTATAAAACTAGAAAATAAAGAGAGCATGTAAAGCCACACAATTTTTTTTCTAATTTTTAAATCAGCATCAGACATTTGCAAAGAAGTTGCCATTGATCAAAAACAGTGGACACACAAACGAAGAAAAAAAGAGGAGATAAAAGAGCAAAGAAAATTCAATAACTCTGGTGTCCATTCCTCTATGAATTAATATAGAAACTGGGTTATTTTATTAAAATAGTTCCTTTCTCTTTTCTAAGGAATCTTGTGGTAAGTTATTTTAATACAAATATAACAACTACATAAATGACAACCTATCACACTACCCACTTGGTTTCACCTACTATATCCATACCCCAGAAAACAACTGAGTCTTATCAACACCATTTGATAAAACACTCAAAAAGATTACAGAGATGTTAGAATTATACAAGGGAACTGGATATTTAACCCATACTTATCCTATTCAAACCCTGGCCATATTTTCTTTTATTTTTATTTATTTGAATCTTCCTATTCTAGCAGTTGACTGATCAAACATGAAAACACTAACTTCATGAAATACCAAGTTGAAGAGACAAATAATTAAACAGTGATAACTTAGCAAAAAAACTGTGGAACAATAATAGTATTTCAGAATTTTGTTGTTGTTGTTGTTGTTGTTGAAGGAACCATTACAACAATTTTTTAGAGACCCTAAAATGCTTTCAGTTGCAGAATTTAACAGCCTAGTGTTTATTACTGAATGTTAAATTCAGAACTTCACACCTCTAAGTAGACATACTTAATGCATACACATACTGAGGAAAAAACACATGTACACACACAAAATCCCCTAGAACAGGACTATTCTGTTCAACAGACACCAGATGGTAAAAAAGGCTTAAAAGCAGCCAAATTTAAATGAATGCTATTGCTTAGAAATGGCTATTGCTTAGAAAGCTAGTTTTATATAAAAACTGAAAGAAAATATTGCTATCCTATATTTTCCCTGTTTCTAAATATCCATAAAGACCTGAATAATAGCATCCTAAAACATGCAATATTCTTTGCAAACAGTAACATCAACTCCACTTAAACAAGGGCAGGATATAAAATATTTACCTCAAATATTTCAACATAATTATTTATTAGGTCCTCAATTACATTCACTTCTTCACTTGTTTGTCCCTTAGTTTGAAACAAACAGGATGAAAAGACCAAGGCCAAATTATGGGCATTCATGTGATTGATTTCTGAGCACTTTTGAACCCTGTGAGAGAAAAGCATAGCTCATTAAGGGACACTTCTATTTGAAAACTGCATAGAACTGCAAGCCAAAATCCTCATTTATAATATTTAAACATGCACATATTGAAATTGTTTAATACAAAAAGCACAGTGGTGGTTTAAAGGAAAGCACACGGTTCTTCTCCCCAGTATCTTGCAGTCAAGTTAAGAACATAAGTAAAACTACTGTTAAGAGATTAGCACAAGTAACAGAGCAGCACTTAATGCTGACTTAGAGGACAAATTGACCACGTCCACATAGTTCCAGATAATGAAATGACCTAAGGCCAAAGCAAAAAAAGGGCATGCAGAATGGTAGAAAATGAAAGGTGAAGCGACAGCATAAATGAAAAAAAGAAAGGGCAGGAGGCAGGTAGGAGCAAGACAGGAGGGTAGACTGTAAGGCATGCAGTGGAGTGTTCCAAATTCCAGGTTCCAGTCTAGGCTACATTTTCTTTTTTTTCTAATTTCTTACATACATGACAATAGTGGAATGCATTACATTCATAATTATCTATCCACAGCATAATTTTTCGTAACTCTGTATATAAAGTATGTTCATGCCAAATTATGCCATTATACATGAGCTCTCTTATTTTTATTTTTTTTATTTTTTGCATTACAATTCCAGGTCCAGCTTGGCTAAGAAGAGGACTAGAATATGGGAGAATCAGAGAAACACTAGAATTGGTTAACAGTATAATTCTGTTTGTCTTGAACTATAAATTTAATGGTTGGTTAAGTATGTAAGTTAACTATAGCTATTTTAAAAATATATTCATTTTGGGAGTAGATGAGCATATGTTTATAAATATATTTTGATATTTGTATTACTAATCATTAAAAATCTGTCTCATTCAAAAGAGAATAGTTATTCTTAAGTAGCCCTAAGAAATAAAGACATATTATTACTGCAAAAAAAAAAAAAATAGGCTACATTTTCTAGAAAGTGGATGTCAGGTTTGGAGAACACCCAGTGGCACGTGTATGGTATTCAGAACAGGATATAATTACATCTCAAAATGCAAACTCTGAATTTATAAAACCACTACACCTTTCTTGGATATAACTAATAATGCCTTTTAAAAATGAAGAGATATGAATAAATCAATCAACCCTTCTAATCAGTAAGGTACAACTTTTAGGTCTTACAAATGTCATTTAAAGTTTTAACAAATAAAAGTTTCAAAGTTATAAAAAATAAAATAAAACCTATAGTCACCATCCCAAGAAATGAAGAGTTGGGTTAGTAAAAATATAGTAGAGTGGAACTACAAGTAGTTAATGGTCTCTACTGGACACTGACTGTATATACAGCTGTATATACATACAGCTGCTCTAGTGCCTGTTTAACTTCATTTGGAAAATGTTAAAATACACATTAAAGAAGAGAAAACCAACTCCATTAAAGGCATATAGCAAGGTTATGTCTATACAGAATACACATTCTGGTAGGTACAGAAAGAATCAACATGATAGTAATATATATGATAATGCAAGAAATACTAATAAAATGCAAAATTGCATAGCATAGACAGACCAAGTATGATCATCATATACAATTTACAAGATGCAAAAGGAACTGGAATTTAATAAAGGAGGATGTAACAACTGCAGACACCCCTCTCAAAACCACTCTGCACTTATATCAAACTAGACTGTGAACATTCAGGAAATTTATCTCCATGTCAGCATCTCACAGTCAAGAGAATCTCACTTTAATCACCCTATACTGCATAATACATATCTGGTGTATGGTATTAAGTGGATGTGACTGGTAACAGAAGTGGTCTTTTACCTAGGGTAGGGATTGAAAATGCTACATCAACCTAACCTTATCCAAACTGACCTCTCCACCTTTTGGTGACACTATCAGAAGTCCAAGGAAATTGTTTTCTAATGCCCTTCATAACCTCTTGTAACCTCCTGCCAGCCAACTATAAACAGTCTTGTCTCCTAGTACTCATCTGTTCCAGAGATAGCCTTCACTCATTTCTCATTCTTACTTTTTTGCTTTGGATAGGGTCTTGCTATTTTGCCCAACCAGGTCTCCAGGTTGGTCTTGAACTCCTGGGATCAAGTGAACCTCCTGTCTCAGTTTCCTGAGTGGCTGGGGCTAAAGGTGCACACACTGACCCCAGTTTGGATTTATCTTTTTTCATACCCAGTTCAAATGTTTCTTTAAATCTAAAGGATAGGGTGGACTCAACCCACAATGAAACACTCATTCTCTCCTCTATAATTCCATGCTGCATCAAAATGTATCCCAACATCTCATAAACTATATTTGTATCATACAATAAGAAAATCATTTTTATAGGCTGGGGATGTAGCTCAGTGGTAAAGACCTGGTTAGCACACACAATTCCCAGCACGTACATGTACCACCTCCACCACAATAACAAAATCAGTTTTACTGTAATAGAGATACATGCGTGAGAACCAGTGGTTGGAAAACAATTTAAAAAATAAAAAAGATGGAACACTGTGGAAGCTTTCTTAATCTAGATACTTTTAGAAGAATTCAGCTTTATAGAAATTTATTCAAAGGAGGGCTGGGGCTGTAGCTCAGTGGCAGAGGACTTGCCTAGCATGTGTGAGGCACTGGGTTCAATCCTCAGCACCACATAAAAATAAACAAATAAAATAAAGGCATTCTGTCCATTTACAACTACAAAAAAATTTTTTTTTAAAGAAATGCATTCAAGGGAATACTTCCTGTGTTCAGGGAGTTACAATAATTCCTTAAGCTAAATTCATGCTTACTATAGTTTTTATACTAATACTTGCTGAGATCAACACACACAAACCAACCTTTAGTTTTAACTTAAAAGGTTATTCTCAAACATCCTCATCCTTCAGATTTCTCGTCACCAAAATATTCCTCATTTCTTTCCACATGCTGAGGGATCATCAGTTCTAGACTTTTAAAATCAGGATAAGGATATCTGATTAACCAATAATCCAAAATATATGGAGTCAGGGAAGCAATAAACTAGAAAAAATTAAGAGTTTATAAAGCATTCACCAAGAGGAAACCCTGTACTCAGATTTGGACACCGAGGAGTCTGTTTAAGAACTCTTGTCCCTCAACATAGCAATGGATCACTCCATCTCTCCTATTTCCATACTGCATGCTGCAAATTCCCTATTTAAAATCTGTCCCCACATCTTAGAGGCAGTGATAGGACTATAGAATGTAGGCTGTATAGTACATTAAGAAAAATAATTCCTTCTTCCTCCAAATTCTAAGTTTTTAAATTCTTGTTTACACACGTGACACATTTCAGGATGCTGTATTATTATTATTTCTGATTCATTTAAGAAATTCTCCAGTGCTATTTAACAGCAACTTAATTATAGAAAAGAAGGCTGATATCAGCTCCAATGATGAAGCTAAACTAAAATGAGGGAGAAAAAAAGGAAAGGGGTGGGTCCCATGAAAATAGAAGGTGGATCAGGAAGGGAATAGAGGAGGAGGGAAGAGGAAAAAGAAAGTGAGGAATTATGGAATGAAACTCACCAAATTGTGCTTTGCATATATGCATATATATGAATATGCCACAGTGAATTTCACCTTTAAGTATAACCATAAAGCACCAATTAAAAAAAAATATGATGGAAGACAAGTAGAATAGAGGAAGGGGAACAGAAAGAGGGAGAACTGGAGGGAAAGAGAAAGTTCTGGAGACTGAAATGAAGCAAATTATATAAAATGCACAAATAAAACATTTAAAAATATATAGTGAAAGATATACAGTCTCGGGTAGAATATTAGTCACACAACTTTAAATTAAGAAGTAATGACTTATTGAATACCATGTTTGAAGTGTCTAGAAATGCTCATGAGTTCACCCACCTATAAAGGTGTTCAATGATAGCTGCCAGTGTTGCTCGGTTGACCCCTGGAAGAGTACGTATAAATGCTCCATACTTCTTAGTTCTTTCCTTGTCATCTTGTGTATCTGGAGGCAAAAAAAAAAAAAAAAAAGGAATCTTAGGGTTTAAGCCAATCACTTATATTATAAATTTGACTTTCACCAATATTTCAAAATATTATTTACAAGTATATTATAAGAAGTTTCAGAAGAAAAAGATTAAAACTTCTAGAATAATTGCCTATAATTATGGAAAAGCATTTATTCACATAAACTTTCCATGACTCTATGCTACAGCTCTTATAATTTTTATTTAAAATGCACTTTGAAAACGGAAAAGGGTATGTTGTTTTCTTATCTTCCACTGTATGGACTACTGAACCTCAACTTAACAGGAAAACATTCAGTTAATTACTCAAACTACAGGACAAATTGAAAAACCAAGCCAAAAGCATTTTAACTCTAGCTATGGAGAGGTTTTATATTTTGTATTTGGAAATGACATTACTGATCCTCTTTCCTTATGAAATCACAAAGATCTTCCCAAAGATATGAATGAACTATCCCAGAGCTACGAACTTGTTATCCTCTCTGATCTAGGCAAATGGGCTTTTAGCAGCCCTGCTACCATTAAATGTCTGGGAAAAAATGAGAAGATAATCAAAGAAATCACACACAAGTCCTTACACTGTGATCCAGACTTGGAAGTTGATGAGCCTCTGCCTTTGTTATAAATAGAAATCAACCATGAAGAGGAAGATACTGCCCAGCCTCAGAAGTCAAATCCCTGGACAAACTATGGTCAGGAACCCCAAAGTTCTTGACTCCCAAGGATGCATGAATTTGGTTCAGCCTAACTGATTAGCTGACACACGGAATGAAGATCATTCTTAAAATAAATAGCTTGCCCTGACTTTGTGACTCAAGGGAACCACACTTAACTATTTCTTTTCAATTCCCAACTACCTTTGGAAACCAGACCATTCACATTTCCTACTTAGCCCTACATATTCTATTCTTTAACTATCATGTGTAACTAATTAAAACAAATTAAGAAGATAAAAGTATATAGTCATTTGTAAGGACATTAGGATCTCAGAGGACATAAGAAACTCTGTGACACATTTTTCAAGTACAATCCTATACAAAACTGCAAGGATTATCTCTTTTGTATGAATTTTGCCAGCACATGAGCTCCATAAAAGTAAACATGGTTGTATGGACTTAAGTGCCCTGTAGATAACTCTGAAAAAGCAGGAAGGGAAAATACTCAAGTAAAGGAAATTCAGAAATGAATTAAGAATTATTTATATCCCTCAATAATATTTAGTATTAATCTAAACATTTGTCCTTATGTCACCAGTTTTTAATTATAGAGAAAACTACATTCATTAATAAAATGTAATTAATATTACTACACATATAAGAAGTCAAGTAGCAAAAGATATTTTCATGTATGAGATAAATGAGATTTTCAAAATAAAGACAAGAAATTGGAAAACAAAATTTGGGAAAGATTTCTGGTCATGCAGAATATATAATGAGCAGTTAAATTAGTTCAGAATTGAGGTGATTTAATACTGTTCTTAGAAGAACAGATCATACATCATAAGAATAAGTGGTATGCCACTGCAAGGCACTGTTGGTCTCAGGTGCACAGGACACAAAGATTCTCCTGTGATGTCCCCAGAGGGTTACAGTTTATCCTTGTCAGATGAAACACTGGGCACTTATGAAATATCTGACTGAGCTATATTGGATCTGAAAGAAAAACACTTAAAGGTCATTCAACCTGGTATTTGAAGCACTCACCAAGTAGATTCTCAAAGAATTCACATGCAAGTGAAAGGTGAACACATCCCTTTTTGACGCTTGGCTACTCCTCGCCAACTATCTACTCCAGGTAGACTGGCAATGTTAAAGACTTCTTTATTATCTGACAACTTTGGCAAAACTTATTTCTTATGTATTTTTGATAAATGATTTTAAAATAAAGAAAAATTCTAAGTCATCATAAAATAGTTATTACAAATAAATTTATAGTTATAATAAAATCACCTTGAAACAAAAATAAGTAGTAGAAGGAAGCTGGGCTTAAAGAGATGTTTATCTAATTACATTTTTTAATATCCTACAAAACTATAAAACTTTTCTTATTCTCAGTGAAGCCTTTTGATTTAAAGAATATTTGGAAGCAAATAAACTACTACTTTCTGAACATGTTAAATTATGAAAAGTGTTAGTAACAATACTACTCTCTTCTTGCTGAAGCTTATAAGGAATAATATGAGATACTTTTCAAACTGTATGTGTGTTTGTGTGTATAATGTTTGTGTGTGTGTGTGTGTGTGTGTATACATATGTATACTGAATACTTTCAAATAAATAATTCTATTTCTCAACTCTCAACACTTGTGTCCGAGGCACTTAGGCCAAGAACACCATGCAGCGACATACAACTTATTCATATGCTATATGGTCTGTTCTTCTAAGAACAATATTAAATTGCCTGAAATTCTGAACTACTTTAATAGCTCATTATATTTTTTATATGACCTGATCTCTTTCCTGAATTTTGTTTTCCAATTGCTTACCTTTATTTTGAAAATATAATCTATCTTTTTCTTATGACATGAATATTAATAAAAAATGAATTGTACTGCATTCTGCTGTCATATACAACAAATTAGAATAAATAAAAATAAAAAATAATATATATTCATAAAAAAGATATATGAAAACACATTTTCACTAGCATGATGTTTTATAAGTGTAGGAATATCATCTACCCAAATTCAAAAGCCATTTTATGAAAATATTTTGAAACATTAATTGTATAAGAAACAGATTTATAATTATGGTATAAATCAAAGCTAAATTTTAAGAACTAGAAAAAAGACTGAAAATTATCATTTTGAAAATGAAAATAAATACGAAGACCTTATGGTTTACTATGAAAAATTTGAAAAAAAAATATATGTGTATCACACATACAAATGTACAAACATACTACAAGTATGGAGAAAAAAACATTGTAATATGTAAAAATGAATAGAGATTAAACAGATGAGATTAAAGATAATTTTACATTTAAAGTCTTTAATGTTTCAACAAATGGATTGGTCTTCAATTAATGCATAATAAAGTAGGTTTTAATGAAATTAATATGATCCAATAAATGATTAAATAATCTACTTTTCTAGGTCCATTTCTTAAGTTCTCTTACAGTATAACAAAGCTTTATTTCATTAGCTGAAATCTAGGGAAAATGAAGAAAGTAAAATAATATATACTGTTATGTACAATAAAGAGGTAGAATAAATAAAAGAGGAATGATGTGTCATGTGATAATTTTTTAGATTATCAAAAATTAAAAATAAATCTAAATATCAGTAAAGGTAAGCCTGCATCATGTTCCATAGTCCAGACATTACCTAATGCAGAGATCCAATACGGGTAGAGCTCCTTGGTGAGAAGTGCATCGTCAATGTCAGAGAGAAAGCTTTTCAACACGCCTGTCACATCTTCAAGCTGATGTTTCCCAGCCCTCAATTTAAAGCTTCTTGCATCCTTTTTGAAACTCTCCAGGAGTTCACTGATGCGCAAAGGATCACCATTCTTTTGGTAGATATATTTGCATCCTAAACCTTTGTTTGTTTAAAATTAAAAGAAAAAGTTAAATGAAAAAATGTCTCCATTCAAAATCTATTCTGATATCTTAAACATGGAACAAATTTTTGTGTTGGTATGATGAAGATAAATAAAAAATTATGCAAGAGGTGAAAGACTTCTTTCTTCTAATTTTAGTATTTGAAATGTAAACCCGATGAACAAACTATTCCACCTTCATCTTTCAGGAAGTCTTGGATCAGCACACCCTGTGGTACACTTCCTAAGATCTTTTTCATTATTTTTAAAAAATTTTTATCTTAAGTGCCATATCTTTACTAATCTCCCAGAATACACTCTAGTCTCCATACTGACAAAAGTGAGTATACATTTTCCTAAACTTTGACCCCCATATCCATTCATTAGTTTCTTCCTCTTTCTACCTTCTCCCCCTTCCCAGTAAAGAGTTGGGTCATTCCTTTTGCAAAGCTACTGATTCACCAGGTACCCTATATAAATAAATGTGATAATTACTAGTGGGTGGTACAGGAGTGGTGATTAATATGATACAAACACAGAAACTCTCCTCCTACCCAGGGTCCTTGTTCTTCTTCCTTTCAAAACTAAGCTGTTTCCTACATTTATCCTTTCTACTATCTCTCAGGCTTGTAAACCCTTTCATCATACAGTGTTGCTTCTGTCCCTAGTCCCACTGTTGGTAACACTGTCATCAAAAATGTCAATAATGTTCTTTTCTTCTGGAAGGATTTCTGATTTCAGCTAATGAAAAATGCTTCAACTTTGGAAACGCCAAAGGAATCCTCCTTAAAATTCTTTTAATCCTATGGCTTTGATGACATGATGATTTCTTATCTCCTCCTTTCCCCTTCCCTCTGTGGTTGAGGAAAGTGTTCATTCTGCCTGTGCAGTCTTTGCTGGTGATTCCAGATATCCATCTTCAATTCTCTTCTCTTCTTGGCTCCCAGAAAATTTTCTAGGTGAGACCATTCAACCTCATCACTTCAACACCTACATACATATTTTTTTCCTGTATTTTAATTTCCAAAATTTTACACACACACACACACACACACACACACACACAATTCCTCATTCTTAGTATATGGTATTGCCTTCTTACATTCTTGCAAGTAAGAACCTTTCTTTCTAGCTTATCACATTAAGAAAAATACTATGTCCCATAGATATTTCATCATATTCTCACTCTCAAAACTGTCCCGGTTTTCCATTCCATATGCTGTTATCTTGTGCCCTTGATTCCTCACTGCACAACTCCCTGACCCCATTCCTGTGCTTCCCTACACAATGCTAACAGTGTGACCTAAAAACAGGTGTTGTTCATATTACCAGCAAGCTCAAAAATCTGGACCCTGCCTTCCCGTTACCTATAGGGCAAAGTTAAAGAATTAGAATATGTAAAAATCGACAGGAGTTGGTTTAAATTCCTGTATACTGTACATGCTTCTTCTCACACTAAGCACTGGCCGCATTTAACTTCAAGTATGCAAACTTCCCTAAAAAGGGGAAGACTTCCTTCCCTTACCATCTCTGCTCTGGGTGAAATCCAATACCAAGGACACCTGCAGGGGTCCTTGCATCTCTCCACTGTAGAATTTTGAACACTGTCTGCACACTTGTCTGTCTCTCATCCTTAAATCTACAAACTCCTAGACTGCTAGGGTTTCATCTTATTCACTGTATATATCTAGCAGATATGTGTCTAAAGAACTCAGTAGGCATTCAATAAGCAATTGCTTAATGCAAGAATAAGTAAATTCTACAAAAATGTTATTTTGACTACGTGTCTCAGACACTACCTTCTTTGCTGAGGAAGTTTCTAATAGCTGGTACTTAAATAAGTTTGGCTAAATGGACAGAAATTTGAACATAATTTTGTTGATGCAAATTAAAAACAACTTCCCCCAAGAACTAACTGCCGTACTTCATCAAGAAAAACTTAAAATCCTAAAAACTATATCATGAACTTGATACAGTTTAAACCTTGACGGGAAGAGCACAGATAATTGGTTTTTAGATTTTAACTCAATAGGCCCAGAAGTTCAAAATAATTATTACATAAAGACTTTGAACAAACTCCCTGCATCCTACAATCACTGGGCAGTTTTTCTATATTCACATCAAATCTTTCCTTTTATACATGCGATTAATATTGATCTTTTACCCCATGTTCTACTTCCAGAAACAAATGGTTTACTGGCTTTATTGCTTTAATGTGCAAGTTAATGCACCTTGTGTTAAGTAGTTATAATGCATGAGATTTAACGGAAAATGCTATGATGCTTAGTGGTTTTAAATTTAAATGGTTTTAAAAGCAAAAAAAACTTCTGATTTCCCTAGAGAAATGTAAAACTGGCTATAACTAGAATGAGTCAGGATATTTTAATCACTTGTCAGCTTAAGAAAGACCATATGTCATTCATTATGTAACTAATATGTGAAAACTCCCCATGAGGTCATGCTCTTGCTAAAACACAAGTGTACAATGCATGATAACCACACATTTCCCCCACTTTAAACAAATGCTGATCAGGAAAACAAATGCACTACCATTGCAAGGAACTTTCTGTAACAGTAGGCCATGAGTGTGTTCATGTATAGATTCCCAGTAGCTATATAATGCAAACACAATGAATCTGGACATTAAAAACGCTACTTGAATTACATTTGAAGTAGAATACTTAAAATGACATGCTACTCAGAAGAAAAGAGATTAAAAGTACACATAAATGTAATTTCTGAAGGTTATTTTTGTTATAGTCCTTGTTATTTCTGATATTATATTCTTCATCAGCATATGCTCAGTTGCTCATACAAGGACTGTCTTTAACGTTTAACTCCTACCACTGTGTTTCTGTCAACACAATGTTTTAATGTAGCTCTCTCACTAATTAAGTCTTGTTTTTAAATTAAGATAAGAAGACACCTTTAATATTAGGAAAACAGAAAGGTTAACACATCTTTAAAAGCAGGTATTTCACTCCTTTCCAGACTTAAGCTCTAATAAATGGCACTTATCTATGGGTTAGATAATATGTTTATATTAAAAAATGTAGTTAAGAAACTTCTACCTTTTGGAATACGAAGGATATACACAACTAAGAATGAATCTGAAAGATTCATGACAACTTGAAAATAAATGACAATAAAGGTTAGTTTTAAGGCATATCTAAAATACCCATCATAGCATATACATTGTAACTGAAGGTGGACCCTATAAGTATAAATCAAATTGTTTTTACTTGCTAACTGCTCATTAAAATATCTTACAAATAAACCAGTTACATCTATAACCATGCTTAATATAAACATCTGACCAACCAGTCGAATGCTGTTGAAGCACACTCCGTGTGCATGCAAGCACAACACAAATTCTTTAACATATTTTTTCATAGTTTACCATTTCTAAAAATCATGCTTAAGCACTCTGAGTTACTCTAGGCTTTATTCTTGGCTTGTAACCACTGACAAATAGCTTTTACTATTTTTACATACTCTTTATATTCTTTCAACATGTTATTTAACATTTTTATATGTACAAAGGACAAAGAAAATGGTAAAAAAAAAAAAAAAGGTATTATACAGTTCAGACGAATTTAACAGGGAAAAGAAATGGCAGCTAGCTGAGCAGTGACCATGTTTTTACTTTTCAGGGGCACACTGAGGAATGTAAGGGGCATTAATTCAGCCCAATGGAGGCACCACTTAGAAACTATAAGAGTGATACTATGAGTTCCAGGAGTTGAATAAAAACTCTGATACATACCATACTGTGTAACAAATGCTATACAGCTGTTCACAATAATGGGCACGTCATTTTTGCTGAGCTGCTGATCTTGTAATGCATTACCATCTGTACCTGCTGCTTTTTCAATTGCAGTATGCCAGACTGTGAAATCCAACTTGGTATGTCCATGGATGTATAATGTTCTGTAAAGTTTAAAAAGCATGACAAATTATAATTTTGCTTTAGTAAAATAAATAAATAAATAATTTTTTTTAGAAAGCAAGCTCTTACCTCAAGAAAGATTAACCCTAAATCTACAGAAACATGACCTACCTCACCCAGCCTAGAAAAGCCCTTCCTTTACCTTCCACCTCCCACTCACCATGGCTTCCTCTCAGTCCCCCTTCTGCTTGGAGAGTCACCTCTATCAACTGAATAGAGGAAATTCTCCCAATTTAAGGTCTTACCACTTTTGTTACCCCAAATCTTTCATTCTGATTCTGAATAATGTTTCTGTTAGTGGCAAAATGGAAAATATCACAAGTGACTTTTAATATACATATTTCTGCCTCTCTCTTCTTTTTTTTAATATTTATTTTTAGGTGTAGATGGACATAACACAATGCCTTTATTTTTATGTGGTGCTGAGGATCGAACTGGGGTCCTGCCCGTGCTAGGCAAGCACTCTACCACTGAGCCACAGTCCCAGCCCCTCTTTTATTTTTAAAAATATTAATATTTTTGATTGTTTCATTTCTTAAAAAATGATAATACTCTGTTGGCTTTTATGGCAAAACCCTTTCTGGATTTCCCATTTTTCTCATCACTTCTTGGTGTCAAGCTCCCTTCCTCTTTCTAAATAACAAGGTTGTATGTGATCTCAGACTCCCCAGAATCTCCAGGGACACTGGTCATTCCGGCCAGTAGTTTCATCTCCCCTATGCAGATCAGTGGCTCCAAATTCCTCTCTCCAGGCTGTAACTCTATCACAAATCAGATTTTGCTGAGAAGTGAGACCATGGGAGTGGTTTATTGTGGGAACAGGGTGGGGGATACAGCTCAATGGTAGAGCATGGCCTCCCAAGCACCAGGTGCTGGGCTGTATCCCCAGCACTCACTATTTCAAAAGGGAAAAAGGAAAAAAAAAAAAGTTCCAAACCAATTTTAACACTGTCACATACTTCCTTGTTAACCTTAGACAAGTTATCATACGATCTGTGCCTCAGTTTCATCAGGTGAAATGAGGATAATACCTGTACCTAGCACAGCACACAACAGATGTTAGTGACTAAATAATAAGGATAATACTAATAAATACTTACTTTTGAAAACCTCACCTTAATGTTTCAAAAATCTTGCTAAATCTTTCTCTCTGCCCCTACAAAAGTGCTCCTGGCACTACAGTTCTCCACTTATCTCATCAGACATTTAAGAGTAATTAACTGTCTCATCCCTCAGTCACATTCACATAAATTCAGTCACATCCACATAAATTCAGTCACAAAATTCTGTTGACTACAGTCCCCAAAATATTCACCCTGTCTCTTCTTTCCAATATTATAATATTTTAGATTTTCATGATGCTCTTTGAGCTCACTAAAGCCCATAACAGAATTCCTTTCCCAATTTTCCATCTTCCTAATCTTTACTCATCACTACTGCCAGAGTCATCTTTCTAAAATGCACAGCTAATGACATCACTTTGGGATTAGCATCCTTCTACAGCTCTGGCATTTTCAATGTGCAAAGGCCGTCCTGATCTCCCTATATCTTCCCTCTAACCTTATCTGTCCTTCCTCTATGCACAAAACACACTGAAAAAAAATTTAAAAATTGCACCTGTGTCTTCACAACAAACATGTCCTGCTCTTTGGCTGGCTATTCCAACACTTATCCCCCAAGGCATGCTCTAGGTGGAATTCCCAGACAGTAGATCCCTGCTCGCCTCCCTGTGCCTACAATGCCACAGGCTTCCCTTCTCCATCCTCCAATGGTCGCTTTGCCTTCTAATCTACCTTCTGTCCTGTCTGTCTGTTTCAGCTGCTAGACAGGAAACTTTACACAGAAGAGCAAGGACAGTACTTCAGTTTCCTAGTCAATGCACAGAGCCTGACATTTAGCAGATGCATGATAGTTTTAAATTCCTTTGCCCAGTATAACATTTAATTAAACTATGAATTAAAAATAGTAGCTGATTCAAATACTTCTCCAAAGTATGAGCTGCATGAGATCTGGGACTTCTGCAGAGGGAATAGAGAAGAGCAGGGTAGTCTTTGACATTCTGAATAATAAGACTAGCTGTAATTTTAAAATGAAAAAAAAAAAAAAGAAAAGTCCTTTCATTCTTTATTTTTCCCTCTTGCAATGCTCCTATAAGAAGACAAAGCTATCTGCTCAGTGCACTCATTTCTAACACCAACTGAAATTGCTACAATTGTGCCTATAATCCTCATCCCTTGCTTTTTGACATTTTTACCTATTTTTATTTTCCACACGACCACAGCAACCCTAAACTACAGATTCTGTAATCGTGTTTTTGAAGAATTCTGACACTTATTCTAATACTTCTGACATGTTTTAGCCTTTTCATTTATCTTACATCATCTTAAGCTTGAAAACATTCTTTCAGTAACTATATTTGTCTAAATGACATTCAAGTAATTTCCCTGAGAAATATTAAATTCCTATATTATATATACTTTGTTCCAACTTTGTCTGGCTAATTTTTAGGAGTTTAGGTACAAAGGAAAACTTATTTTTTTTCCTCATTTTATTTCCATAGATTTTTCTTAACCTGATAATTAAGCTCTAAATGAGACATGAAATCTTTGAGACTGTTTGCTTATATAATACTACACTGGATAAGTATTCAAGCAAGCTGTGAAAGAAAATCAAAATGCAACAGCCCTCCTACAATTCTGTCACTGAGAACATTTCAAACGTCGAATTTTCTTTCTAGTCCAAAGAAATCCTGAGATGACAAGGTTAGCTGTCTTCTTGTGAACCAGCGAGGGGCAGAAGGAGCCATGACAAGTTAACTCCTGAGTCAACCTGTCAAAAGAGTGTATCCTAAAATACACCATCTAGGGCAGATGTCTGACACTGAGCAGCATCACCATGATGATGTTCCTTTGATGCTTAGCTAAACTCTATGCACATCCAATAAAATCACAACACATTGACAACACAAATCCTGACCAACTTTGTGATTTCAAGTGTTATCAACTAGCCAGTTCACATTTCTGGGTAAGAATGCCAAAGAAACATTAATTTACATCTTGAAATTCTGAAGTTATTTTGATGAACTCTATATAGAAATAAGTTATACTAATTGTCAATGTCCTGAGTACAAATTTCAAAGTGTATTTCAAAGTCATATAAGGACTGTTATTTGTTATAACGAATAAAGACAGTTCAATAAGATCTAGAAACCAAGCCCCAGAACTAATAAAAGCAATTCTCTCAAAATTGCAACATAGTAACCACAATGTGTCAACAATCATATTTGAGAAGTCTCTTCACAAATAATAGGACCAATAAATTTGACTGCATAAAAACAAATTTACTCATAAAGAACATTTTAAATAAAACAGAAAAGTAAATAACGAATAACTGCAACTATAACTGAAAAAAGATAATATCCTAAGTATTTATGAAAAAATAAAAGTGCTCAGTCCTCAACATAATGGACATTAGCAATGAAAAGATAATCCACAGAAGTGCCAGTGGCCAATAAATGCAAACCAGGCTAACAATCAAAGATATGTATAAGAAAACAGCAACATGTTTTAAGCAATTTATCAAAGATTTAAAAAAAGTAAGGCTTATCGCTAAAGAAGAGTATACCAAGATGAAAAACAGAATTTTATAGGTTTAGTAGATATTCTGAAGAGTTGTGGAGATATTTATCAAGGAAGCTAATATATGTATACATAATTGCTGACACATAACTCCAACCCTGGAATGCTACTGTAAGTACATTCCTGAAAGGAAGATACACTTTTGCTCAACATCTGCTTGTGTCCCCCTCTTCCAAGCACACACACGTATGCACATCAAGAGCTACATTTACCAGAGCAGCACTTAAAAAAATGGAAATACACTTAAATCCCAACAACTAGGAAAACATTAAGTGATTTAGGATATATCTATCAATATATATATTTAGTACAATGAACAAAAAAGACATAATTGCAAGTATATATTTACTGAAATGGTAAACAGTTTCTGGGTAGAAAGCTCATATTTTCCTTTCATACATAAAGACACATACATATACATTTTATATATGTGTGTGCATTTGTGCATGTGTGTATGCCATCTTAGTTTTTCATTGGATTTTTGAGCCAGAGAATTGGAAATATCCTTACCACTTCATTTATGATTAGGAACTAAGGGCCAGAAAGAATCTGTTTAAGACCAAAGGGCTAGTAAGGAAGAGTAAAGCAGCTATGTAGGTAGGTTTTCTATCCCACCCAGTGGAATCCAGTGTATTATCCTTTACCTGAGATGTCTATAATTTAAAGTCCTGGTTTTCAGTTCTCCAAAATGCTCATTCTAGAAGTAGAAATCCGGTGTCAATCATTTTTTCTCAGTCTTCTTATCACAGGGAGATTCACAAAACAGGGTTTCCTAAACAACTTATCACAAAGTCATATAACTGGAAAAAACTAGAAGATGATCTCTTGGAGCCATTCATAACAGGGATCTATTTCTCTTTTGAAGAAGGGACAGCATACATTCTACCTTGGTAAGCATCTTAGACGCACTGAAAATGTAATGGACAGATCCAAGGAAGATGATTGTGGAAATGTCCAGTGTGTACTTTTCTTTATAGTTCCTAAGCAAGCTCTCAAAGCAAAACACACTAATTGACAGAGGAAGTTTTGATTTTTATAGAAAATGATGAATTGTTTTATTGCTCTGACAAGTGATCATTAGAATATTCACTCATCTTAATTATATAGTTGAAAATATTTTCACGAAAGTTTACTCCTGTGTGACCATTACTATAATCAATATACAAAACATTTGGATGGCTCACAAAATTTCCCCACAACTCTTTGCAGCGAATCCCTTCTACATCTTCTACCCACAATTTCAGGCCAAAACTCGTGTTTTCTGTTAATACATCTTAATTTATCAGTTTTAGACTTCTATATAAAAAGGATATGTAATATTACTATTTTGCATCTGGTTTCTT